AATCGTAGCCCCTCATAAGCTACTTGGGAGACATTGGAGTCAATGGAGGTTCAATTTCCTCATCTGTTTTCATAAGGTAAATTTCGAGGACGAAAATTCTTGTAGAGGGGGAGAATTGTAACAACCCGAAAATTTCAAAATAATATTTAATTGGGAATTGAGGTTTTAATTGTGAAAATTGGTGGATTTTTGGGGACTAAATTGGAAGTTTTTAAAACTTGTAGCTTGTTTTAGAGTTAAAGAAAATTCAGGGACCAAGCCCTGAATTTACCCCAAAAATTAGGTATTTGGTTTTATATATATGATATATGCGTGAATTGGGTTCTGAAAATCAGAACCCAATTCCTCCCAAATTTCCATTTCCTTACCTCAACTTCCGACGACGATTCCGACACCGTCCGAATTCCGATCGTCGTTTTGAAAGTACCATCGTGTTCGTTATCGAGTCAGGAACAATCCCCTCAATTTAATTGAAGCGAAACGCTGCCAAACGTCGTGAATTTCAAGTCAAACCATCGACGTTTTTTTTAAGCTCAATCGCCTAGAAAATCCTAAATTCATCGCCGATCGTTGCTCCGTTTACGACACCTCCCGCACCATCGTGTTCCTTGTGCCGTTCCGAGTCCGCCGGTGTCATCCTCGATCTCCGTTGACGGCGGCGCGTGGGGAGGTGGATCAATCAAAGATTCGGCCAAGTCGAAATCGAGCTCTCCGCCGTTCAAAAATTTGAACCGATCTTTGTAAGTATCTCGAAATCGCTCAAAATAATTTTTAGAAATTTTTCCGTGATTTTTAGAGCCCCGGAGGACGTCGCACGCGCCACACGCGCCGCCGCAGGCGAGTGAACGCTGGAAACCGGTTTTGACCGGTTTGACCGGTCACGACCCGTTTACCCGACCCGTTTACCCGACCTGACCCGTTGACCGGTGTTATTCTGGGAATTAATTCAGTTTTGGTGCTATTCTAGGAATTAATTCGAAATGGGTGCTATTTTGGTAATTTTTTAAAAGGGTGCTATTTGTGTAAAATGTTTGAAAGTTTGTTGACCTCCTTTGACCAGAACTTTGACCGGCTTTGACCAGCTATTAAACGACATTTGTTTTCGACCAAGAATACCTATCCTGATAGTTTTCGACGTCCCGAATCTGTTTTTGGGGTCCGTTTTGCTAAATTCAAACCCGAAAGTCTCCAAATCGTCAGTCAAATCCGTTGACTCTAATTTTGACCAAGAATTCGAAATTTCAGAAGATCATACTTTATGTTTTTCGACGTCCTGAATTTGATTCCGAAGTCCGTTTTGTCAAATTCTGACCCGAAATTCCCGAATCGAGCTTGTAAACCCAAAATGCTTAATATTTTAATATTTTTTGATTATTTAAATGAGATTTGGTCAAGGATTTTTTTAATAAAAATATTTTATGAAGGTACTCGTGTTTCACCTGAGCAAGGATCAATTAGGTCCGGTGTTATCCGTTCGTTAGATCAGCCTAAACCACGTACTACGAGAATTACCCGTAGGTTTCCGTATATTATTTAAATAATATTTAGATTATTTATATTAGGATTCCAATATGGATTTTTCTAATTCGTAGAATCTAGCGCTGCAGCAGAACGTGATCGACAAACCCAATAGTAGGATTCCCTATCCGATTTCTCAGAGTGTGACAGGGTGTGTTTCCTGACAGTGTTGTTTTACTGTTTTAAAATATTATTTGAATTATTTCAGAATGGTGATTATTCAAAATATTGTTATGACATGATACATGATATCTGATTTCTGAATAATGGTTACCGACATCTGATTACCGTATTTCTGTATATGATTTTCAAGAATGATCCATTTTTCATGTTTTAATGGATTAATCACCATTTTTACTCGAATGCATATTTGTTTATTACTGTCATTGGGGGGAAAGAATTGTTGGAGGAAGAAAATATTGCAGGCTCCTCGGCTTTGTGCTCAGGGCCTTACTGGTCGTGACGGGGTGTATGGTTATGGGAACCTACACAATTTGTTCGTGACGGATGGGGGTAGTGTTCATATTTAAAAAAAACATGTTGCATAAATCGATTTTTATTGATAATATCTTATTAATATGTTTTTGTACGCTGTATGGAACACACTGGGCTTTTTAGCTCATTCTGTAAATTTTAACATTTTTTCAGATAACAGCTGACCGTAAGCTAGCAGATTTGGCATCAGGAGAAATCAACTACTTTATTTTGTACGAACATATATTTCTATATGTTTTTCAGTTATGTTTGGTGACATGTATTTTATTATCGTTTTGAGCATATCTGTATTATTAATATTATGTTCTATATTATATTTAACGTTCTATAAGTTATATAAAAAAAAACCTCTGAATGAGATATGTGACCACTTAAATTTGGGTTTAACTCACAGACCGGGTCTAGGGGTTACAGTACAAGAGGGCTGATTGTCTTGCTCCCTGGAGGTTTGGTTTGGATCTATCAAATCTCATAGAATTTTGGGATGGGGCAGAATACAAAGCGTTAAAATGATATTATTTTCTTCATCTTTCAAATTTTAGCACATAGTTTCTTTTTCAGTGGCGTTTTTGTCCAAATTTTTTATTGTGCCATTGTGAATGTAGAAAGAATTTGAGAATTTTGGTGACTTGATTTGATTTTAACTAAATTGAGTTGTGCTCATTTTTTTCTTGGTTTTAAATTTTATGCACACTGCCTAATTGTCTTTCCATATGAATTGAGATTGATGTGAGTTCTCACTGGTCGGAGAAGATTATTGGAGTACTGACGATGATGTGAGTTAGAGATTGAGAAAGTCTAGGGATCAACTTGATAATCTTTTCTAAAGTTCAATAATCAAATTAGAAATTTATTATTTTTTAATGTGTCAAATCACCAAATAAATAAGAGTTAATGACTCAGTTACTAAAATATAATAAATAGATAACATTAGTGATTGAAATTTAACTTTTTAAAATTAGTGATCAAAATAAGAGAGATTGAAAATAAAAATAACATTAGATGTAATTTATCCATAAATTAAATATTTTCCATTGTCATCAGGATTGTCATGCAAGAAAAAGAATCATTATCATACGTTACATATATTAGTATCATTTCAGTAATTAATTGAGGTTTTATGATATTATTTGTGTAAAAAAAATAATTTTTTAACTCCATAAAAATATACCTATATATATAAGGAAAATAATTTAGAGTACTACCAATAAAAAATTTATAAACACCATTACAATGGTGATAATTTTTTTTAATAATATATGGTGATTACTGATAGTATTTGTTTAAGATTTTTTTAATAACACACCCTACATATACAAATGGTTGAACCTAGAACTTCCATGAGCCCCTCCCCTCCCGCAGCACTAGCCTCCTTAAATGGCGCCGCGTTGCTGCAAGTGGTAATATATATATTATGCGAAGGGATTTCCTCCAACATAAGAAGACCTGTAGATTGCAGGGATGAAGAATTCACCATTAGGATGCTGGTTGGTGTTTAAAGTACTCAAATGTCACTGTTCGGATGGAAAAATGAAGTTACGTTGCAGGTGGTGGGTTGTTGGGTACTTGCTGCCCAATATATGAACCTGAGGGGTTTTTAAAAAATATATATATATTTCAGAAAAACAAAATATGACGTGATAAATAATAAGAAATGCACAAATGACTGCAAAATCCAAAAAACACTTTTAACTTATCAAAATTTATATAAAAATATTTTAAACATGACAAGGATACACAAATCGTCTCCGCTACAAATAATGATCAAGTGGTATAAAGAAAATCCTAGAAAGAAGGAAACTTACTCGAAGACATTCCTAAAGGATATGAGTGTGGTTGCAACCATTGAATAGAAGGGGAAGCAAGGCTGGAAGTGTCTGATACCAATATGTTGGGTTCGGATACATGCCAAGAAGCCATAAAAGGTGACTGTAACACGTACCACAAATTAGCATCATGAATACTTTCAACTGCGTGTACAAAATAATATGAGGTAGCTGGTTCACTATGACCTAGGATTCAAATATCAGTGTTAAATACAAGTATGCTGGAACGAGTAGAATTTCATGTTAGAAAAGGAAATTTTTGAAATTTTAAGAGAATATGAACTTCTAAAATTCTAGGCGACGAAAAGAGATTATCAATATAAAATTTAAAGGAAAAAATATATGATATTTTCAAAGGGGGGACGACTGGCTCAGTCTACCCCGGCAAGTATTTCCACGTATTTGGAAGATTATATCTCCATATATATTCATATTCAGATATTTCATGAAAATTAAAGAGTCGGGGCAATGATGACATGGAGGACCAATTCATCATCAAATCGAAGACTAACTTTTTTTGAAGGGTTGCCGGACCGCCTGTGACTAAGATTGCTAGGAACTAAAATGCGTTCCACAAACGATTCAAAAATAACCAGAACTAGCTTTCTGAAAAAATGACGAAGAAGAAAACATATAGCTTTTTCACTGAAAAGAGTAAATAAACACCAGAGTATCAATGTATGAAAACCTCTAGTCACATAATCATTAGAACAACTAAAGATGAATTTGGATGTGTACCATTGTTGCTGGATTTGCTGGTTGATATACTGCTGGCATTTTCTGTACAAGAAACCACAGATTAAAATTAGAAAGTTATTACGAGAAGAGAAACTTGTTATTCTGAGACGAATTACCGCCATCGGAGAATAGTGCAAGCCATAACCCAGGACATGGACTTGCGACTGTAAGGGAGCAGGCGAATACTGCAATCCTTGATCCATGACGTGGACTTGAACGGCTTGGCACCTAGGGGATTGTAAAGGCACATGTGATTACTGCAAGCCAGGCCCCATGAAGTGGGATTGAAGTGCTTGCGATTGTGCAGGAGCTGGTGAAGGGGTTGCTACAAAAAGATGCCGCAGAACATTCGGAATATAGTTAGATACATAGAAAATAGGAAATGGAAGTTTTGAGAAGATGCAAATGTACAACAAATGAACTTTAGTTTACCTCTGGAAGTTCTTTTCTTTCACTGGATTTCTGCTCTATTGGAGCAGAATCCGGTATGTGTGAAGGGCCAGTCCCCTGACTCTGCACAGAGAAAACATAAAGAAATACTCCAGAATGAGAAAGAAACCTAATTTCTATCCTTTATTTGCATAAAAGATGAAAATTTTCCATAAAATATGTGGATCTCAAATATCTCTATGCCAAGCATTACATCTCTGAGCTGATTGCCAATGTAAATGAATAGAAATGAACTTCAGTTTACCACTTGAAATTCCTTATGCACTGAAGAGAGAGACTCCATTACAACTCCAGATATGGCCTGAGGAATATTCTGTGGGACAAATTGAGATGGTTGCACATTTGGACTGCTTGAGGGCACAGGAGAAGTAGATTGAATGGCAGTATCTGAGAATATATAGCACTGAGGATGTGGAGTGTCTTTCTCTTGTTTCATCCGATTAGTGTTGGTAGAGGAACCAACATTACTAGTAGCCAATGACGAAAAGGCACTAATTAAGGAAACTTTTGGACTGGGAAAAGTGGAAGTAGTGGATGAAGTCGATACATTGCTTAGTTGTGTAGCAGGAGAAACGCCACCACTGCTAGGTGTCCTAGGTATGTTAAGGATTTCAGCAGTGAGCACACCACCAGTACTCGGTTCCTTTGACACAATGTCCATAGGTTTAACCGCAGGAGCTACAGAGTCCAGGTTTTTGGCATTTGAAGCAACCTTTGCTCGACTTCTCGGAGTAGGACAGTCAATGCTCGCCGGATTATTAGAACATGGTGAACTTGCTGGTTTTGAAAAAAAATGACTACTGGATTTTGGTGATTGTTTTGAAGAAGGCCCAGGTTCAGAACTGATATTAGCTGGGTTTTCTAAAGTGTGCGTTTCATTTCCCATAGAATTTAGGCTTCTAGGTTCCGTATAATGTGCATCACTGTGCCTTGGTTTTGTCGTAGATTCAGTCCTCTGCAATTAACATTTTTACTAGAATCAGAGGAGACACATTCCAGAAAATTATAGAAAGATGCTAATAAACCAATTCTAACACGTATATCACAATGCAAGCCATGAGGATTCATCCATTTATGCAACCTGAAGTTGTAAAATAACAAGATAAAGAACTTTCTAAAAGGCATACTTATAGAAAAACCATGACAATAAATAACTTAGAAAATACTTGGTAAACACCAAATATAAAATAACACAAGAAAAACATACTTCTACTCTAACTGTTAAGAATGATGTACAAGCTAAGTACATAACTTAAGAGAGACTTACTTGCATAGGACTAGGCCTATCGCCATCTTTAAGAGCTTCACTTAGTCGCAGAGAGGGGATTCTATCCAATATATCCCGAAGAGAACACACCTCTCGTGGCCTGGATGAATATAGCGCAGTATGTTGGTTTGAGAGCCTTCTCTGCAGATTGTATGTCTTTGGAGTTCCAGATATATCATCACCAAATCTATCATCAACTACCTCAAAGTAAGTAGAAATTCTCTTATGATCATCATGCTTTTGAGATTCTTTACCATTTCCAAGATTTCTTCTTTCATCATAACTGTTTCCTGATTCACTATCATCATTTCTTCCACTGAATCCAGATCTCTCAATGCTGTGTTGTTCATAGGTACCTGAATAAAGCATTCTATGAAGATCACTGCGATCACTGTTTTTTTGAGATTCTTTACCATCTCCATTATTTCTTCTTTCACAGTAACTGTCTCCTGAATCTGATTTATCGCTACTTCCACTAAATCCAGATCTCTCAATGCTGCTTTGTTCATAGGTATCCGAAAAGAGCATTCTATGAAGGTCACTGCAATGAACGTGTTTTTGAGATTCTTTACAATTTCTATTATTTCTTCTTTCCCCACAACTGTTTCCTGAATCTCTTTCAGCACTTCCTCTACTAAATCCAGATCTCTCAGCACTGCATTTTTCGAAGATCTCTGAAGAAAGCATAATATGAAGGTGACTGCGATCACCATGATTTTGAGATTCTTTACCATCTTCAATATTTCTTCTTTCCCCGTAACTGTTCCCTGAATCTCTTTCATCACATCTTCCACTAAATCCAAATCTCTCAACGCTGAGTTTTTTTAGGATCTCTGAAGAAAGCATATTACGAAGGCCATTGTGATTGGTAAAAGAATCTTCCCTGTCATCCTATGCAATATGTCAAAGAACAGTTCTTCAGTAGATGATGTTGCGGAAGACGGCTATCGGATAGAGCAAAATCACAACTGATAATTTGAGAAAATAAAAATGAAGATAAAAGAGACACAAAATTTACGTGGAAAACCCCTAAATAATATAGGGTAAAAACCACGGGCAACGGTAGAAGAATTTCACTATGAGAAAATAGGAATTACAAATTCTCTCTATCTACCAAGGAGAAAACAATGATAATTCTCTCTTGATAAAAAGGAGAAACAACTCTCAAGAAACTCTCTAAATTCTCTAGTATTGGAAGAAAGCTAGAATGCTTTGGGATGATTTGAAGCTAAATGAGCTAGGGTATTTATAGTTGAAACCTAAGGGCTAATCTTGTAAATACCCTAAAGTACAATGATTAAATGTTGTAATTATCCCTTGCATAATTCAACAAAAATAATAATAAAAAAACAAAAAATCAGCAGCCTAGCAGCCGGCTGCTTTTGATTTTTCCACAATCTCCCACTTGAAGATTTGATTGGAACAATCATATCTTCACACCATTCTTTCTACCTTGTACCATCATGTTGCTTACGTCTCTGACAGGCCACAAGAGGATTGACACCAGGTAAATTTATCAGCGTTGATTGCCTTCGTCATGAAATATGCTATGTTGTCTTTGGTATGGATCTTCTGCATATCTACCGTTCCTTCTTCAACCTTTTCACGAATGAAATGGTACTGAACTCGTATGTGCTTTGTTCTTGAATGAAATGCTGGATTCCTTGCTAGATGCAAGGCGCTTTGACTGTCACAAAACAGAGAGACATACTCTTGATTGTGCCCAAGCTCCTCCAATAGCATCTTTAACCAAATTGCTTCTTTACTGGCTTGTGTAGCTGCTACATATTCTGCCTCTGTTGTGGATGTAGCCACAACTGACTGCAATTTTGAAACCCAGCTTACAGCTCCACCAGCAACTTTGAACACATATCCTGTAGTAGATTTGCTTTTATCCAAATCCCCTGCATAGTCAGAATCTACATAACCATTTATTAGTAAGTTTGATCCTCCGTAACATAATGCAACATTTGAGGTTCCCTTGATGTATCTTAGGATCCTCTTTACTATATTCCAATGCTCTTTGCCTGGATTCGCCATGTACCGACTAACCACTCCCACTGCTTGTGCAATGTCTGGTCTTGTGCATATCATAGCGAACATTAAACTTCCCACTGCTGATGCATACGGTACTCGAGACATCTCCATCCTCTCTTCTTCACTGCTAGGACTCATACTGGAGGATAATTTGAAGTTCATAGGAAGAGGAGTAGAAATTGGCTTACAATCTTGCATGTTGAATCGTGACAATATCTTCTTCAAGTAATTCTTTTGTGAAAGCCAAATCTTCCTATTACTTCTGTCTCGGTGAATTTGCATCCCTAGAATCTTGTTTGCTGATCCCAAGTCCTTCATTTCAAATTCCCTAGCCAGTTGTGCCTTTAATTCTTCAATATGATCTTTGTTGGGTCCTGCAACCAACATGTCATCCACATACAACAGCAATATAACAAAATCGTTATCACCAGACCTCTTGAAATAAGCACAAGGGTCTGCATTAAGTCTGTTGTATCCAAGGCACATAATGAAGGAATCAAATCTCTTATACCAACACCTCGGCGCCTGCTTTAGACCGTACAGAGATTTGTTCAACCTGCAAACCAAGTTCTTCTTTTCTTTTTCTTCAAAACCTTCAGGCTGGAGCATATAAATCTCTTCTTCAAGATTTCCATGAAGAAAAGTTGTTTTAACATCTAGCTGCTCTAGATGTAAGTTCAATGTAGCACACATTGCCAAGAGTACTCGAACTGTTGTTAGTCGAACCACAGGAGAAAAAATTTCATTGAAATCAATACCTTCTTTTTGAGCATATCCTTTGACCACCAGTCTTGCACGGTACCTCTCCACTTGATCGTCAACATTTCGCTTGATTTTGAAGACCCATTTGTTACCAATTGGCTTCCTTCCTTGTGGTAGTGGCACAAGGTCCCATGTATTATTTTATGAAGGGCTTCGATTTCTTCTTGCATCGCCATCATCCATAATGAAGCATCTGAGCTGTTTATTGCCTCCTGGTATGTTGATGGCTCACCGTCCTCTGTTAAAAGGCAGTATGCAATATTACCTTCTATAACATAATCTGAGTGCCAATTGGGACGTCTTCTCACACGATCTGATTGACGAGTTATTGGAGCTTCAGAACTCTCTAGTTCTTGTTCATCATGAGCTGGTTCTGCTTCAGAAGAATCTCCTTGTTCAACCTCCTTTTCCACATGTATATGAGTAATCTCTGACTTTTCAGCGCTAGCATCGTCTTCTTTTCTTTGTAGCTTATCTTCTACAAAGATAACATCCCTGCTAATGATCACTTTGCGGGCAGTGGGATCCCACAAGCGATACCCCTTTACTCCATCAGCATACCCCAAGAATTTGCATTTCCTGGATTTTGGATCCAACTTCGAAATTTCTTGGGAGTTGTACATCACGTACACAATACTTCCAAATACATGGAGGTTTGAATAATCAGCTGGTTTACCAGTCCACATCTCCATTGGTGTCTTCAGCTCTATTGCAGTTGATGGAGCTCGATTCACCAAATAACAGGCGGTATTGACTGCTTCTGCCCAGAATGATTTTTCTAAGCCTGCATTCCTCAACATTGCTCGTGTTCTTTCTAACAAGGTTCTATTCATCCGCTCTGCCACTCCATTTTGTTGAGGAGTGTTCGCCACTGTGAACTGTCTTTTGATGCCTTCTCTCTTGCAAAAGTCATCAAATTCTTCGCTTGTGTATTCTCCTCCATTATCTGTTCTGAAACACTTGATCTTATTTCCAGAATCAAGTTCCACCCGCGCTTTGAAGTTTTTGAAAGTTGCAAACACATCTGACTTCTTCTTAATAGGGTACACCCAACATCTCCTGGAGTAGTCATCAATAAATGAGACAAAGTATTTTGCTCTGCCTAGGGATGTGATCGGTGCTTGCCATACGTCAGAGTGAACCAATTCTAGAACACTTTTGCCTCTAGAATTTGATGTGTTGAATTTCAACCGGTGTTGCTTACTTGTTATACAATGCTCACACAAAGGAAGTGATACCTTTGTTAAGCTGGGAAGTAGCTTTTGCTCCACAAGGACTTTCATTCCTTGTTCTGACATGTGTCCAAGTTTCTTATGCCATAACATTGCAGAATCTGAACTACATGAGGCAACAGAGGCTTCTGCTTCTAGCAAAGTCTCTCCCTTCAGCATGTACAAGTTTGCAGCTATCTTTTCGCCTTTCAGCACCACAAGCACTCCATGGAACACCTTCATGATTCCTTTATGTGTTTCAATCTTGCTTGCATTATTATCCAACAATCCGTAGGATAATAAATTTTTCTTCAGGCCTTTCACGTGCCGTACATCTCAAACAACTTTAATTGTTCCATCATACATCTTCAATTTGATGGTTCCCACGCCAACGATATCTAAGGCATGATCATTGCAACTATAGACAGATCCTCCTGAGACAGGTTCATAATGATGGAACCATTCTCTTCTTGAGGTCATGTGATATGTTGCTCCTGAATCAATGAGCCATATATCTGCAAATCTTTTTCTGCCTTCCACGGTAGTTGACGCTTCACAGCATAGAGCATCTCCATCATCTGAAGTGTTTGCGGTATTGCCTTGTGGATTGGAGTTTTTATTGAGACTCCAACAATCCTTCTTCAAGTGACCCTTCTTTCCACAGTGGTAGCACTTTAAATTCTTTTTGCTTCTGGACTTCGATCTACCATGTTTGTGACTGCTGCTTTGGCCACGTTCTGTTGATCTCCCTCTCGTCGTTGTCAACGCTTCTGCTTGTTGCAGATTTACTTGTTTGTCTTCCTTGTTCTTGCGCCGATTTTCTTCTTGTAGAACAGCAGCTGCAACGTCATCGAAGACTAGACTGGTGACATTACTATTTGTCAAGTTGATGATGAGTTGATCATACGAATCCGGTAGACTTTGAAGTAGAAGTTCAGCACGTTCTTGTTCTCCTATTTTACAGCTTAAGGATGTAAGCTGAGAAAATAAGGTGTTCACTGTATTTAAGTGCTCTGTCACTGAAGTAGATTCTGACATACGGAGAGTGTACAATTTCCTTTTAAGGAAAATTTTATTGTGCAACGATGTGGCCTCGTACAATTTGGTGAGATGATCCCATATCTCCTTAGCTGTCTTCTTCTCCTCGATGCTTGACAATACTTCATCTGCTAATGCTAGATGAAAGTTTGCCATAGCATTTCCGTCCATCTCGTTCCATTTATTGTCATCTGCGAAATCCACCGGCCTTTCATTGATAGCCGCTAGACACCCGTCTTTCCTCAGGATGACCTTCATCTTCAATTTCCACAGTGAGAAATTTCTCCCATTGAATTTTTCAATATCAAATTTCGTTGTCATAGCTTCTATTACGGATAACTCCCACTATTTCACTATCGTGAATAGTTCTCTGGAACCTTCAAAGAATGGGTAATACCTTCTTACTTTCTTATGTTGGAGGATCCACCTTTTGGTGGCAACCACAAAGACAATAAGCAGATATTACACACTCTAATCTAGCTCTGATACCAATTGTTGCGGAAGACGGCTATCGGATAGAGCAAAATCACAACTGATAATTTGAGAAAATAAAAATGAAGATAAAAGAGACACAAAATTTACGTGGAAAACCCCTAAATAATATAGGGTAAAAACCACGGGCAACGGTAGAAGAATTTCACTATGAGAAAATAGGAATTACAACTTCTCTCTATCTACCAAGGAGAAAACAATGATAATTCTCTCTTGATAAAAAGGAGAAAACAACTCTCAAGAAACTCTCTAAATTCTCTAGTATTGGAAGAAAACTAGAATGCTTTGGGATGATTTGAAGCTAAATGAGCTAGGGTATTTATAGTTGAAACCTAAGGGCTAATCTTGTAAATACCCTAAAGTACAATGATTAAATGTTGTAATTATCCCTTGCATAATTCAACAAAAATAATAATAAAAAATAAAAAATCAGCAGCCTAGCAGCCGGCTGCTTTTGATTTTTCCACAGATGAATGCATCTTTGAGTTGACTGAACCACTAATTATTACCCTTTCAACTCAAACAAACATTTTTCGCAGGCCATGTTAAACTAAAATGATTAGCTTACCCTCTTCGGAGTCGAAGGCCAGTCAACAGTAGAAAGAATCCTATGAATTTCTCGCTTACCTTCTTAGAAATGGAAGGCCTGTCAACAGTACTCTTCTCACCAGAGTATCTTCTATCCACATACACATGCTTAATGAATTTCCCGAGTCCTTCAACATTACTGATACGAAGCATATGAGTTAGCACATTCATCATCTTCTCGAATTTCAACAATAAATTGAAACATAAACAGGATACATATTACCAGTTATCAGGAAGAGAACGGTGTCTCGAATCCAATTCTTTGAAGTAAACTTGCTTTGCATGCTAATACACAGATTGAAAAAAAAATTAAACCAGCAACACAGGCATCCGCCAATCCATGCATTAATCATATTTAAAAGTATTAGATATTCATCTCATGTTTTATGTTTCTTGGTCATGCAAATATCTCATAAGACGATCAACCATGTTTGGTAATTGATGATTAATTACCTCATTCCCCCCTTCACGAAGACCTTTAACATCTTCTGCAGTAAATGTGGACATTGACACTGATTTAACTCGATGTGAAAACTCACGACTACAATAACAATTAAAAAGAGTTAACTGAGTATGTATTTATTGTATTTTAAAGTAAAACAGATATTTGAAATCATAGAAAATACTTAACTGTATTCCACCACATGTTGAACAAACGAATGTCCAAAAATTTGTGCATACATATTGAGGTCCCTGCTCACAAGTTACATTCCTTGTGCTGTTTAGCGATTGCATATACACCACATACATACGTACATACAATAAGAAACAAGCAACCGAGACGAGGAGAAAAATCCATCCACTATTCAGAATTTTCTTAGTCTATTACAACGCACACAATCTGAAAATGCAATTATTCGAACCCGAGTCATCTAAAGAATTATATTCCTTTTAGCACTAATGCCACTCAATTGTCATTACATTTTCACTTTTTATAATATTATGTTTAGAAACATGGATTTAAAATTCTCTACTTAAATTGTACGTATAAAATAGTGAAAATCCAATATGATTATATATATGAATCCTAAGAAAAATATGGATTTCAAATTCAAAATTATGCATAGCTATTATAAATTCAGCATCGAGTAGGTATCTAACAAATCTATGAATTTGAAAAATAAACATAATTGCTTACACTAATTTCAAAATTAAACTCAGATTTTTCAAGTTCAAGTTTTCGAAACCCAACAATAAAAGAAAAATCCCGAGAGAAATTAAAAATAAAGTTAACCAATCAAAACGGGAAAAAAATAATGTTAAAAAGAAATCACCTGGCTATTGCAGTTGATACAACGGAGATTGCTGGGAAGCTTCATGAGGCTGCGAATGATTTTCTCGTTCTTCTCGTGTTCTTCAACTTTTCCCTTCATTTTTCTTCTAAAAGAGAACTGGCTTGCACTTGTTGCTGAAGAATGAAGCAAAAGGATGAAGAATAAATACCAACGAAATCGGTGAAATAGAAAATGTAAAAGAAAAACAGAAAATTGGTTAAGACTAAAAGGATTAAAATGAACGTTATAGCTAAACTAAGCAATAATTTATTTTTCTTTAACAATTTAAAGCAATATACAGGATGCATTTGCAACAATAAGAATAACTGTTGTACCGACGGGTCGGGAACGATGGCATTTCATTACTGGATTCTGCAGAGAAATTTTGAAACAGACTGCATGCATGCAAGGGGGAGAAGAAGCTAAAAGAACGACGCCGTTGAGCTGGCGGATAGTGACCGTTTTAACGGTTTTTTGTCATTGCCATTGAACTGATTCCGACTTGTGTAAGGAACAATAATTTGACCTCACTTTGATTTTATAGGGTAAACTTTAAAAATAGTGATCAATTTTTTAAGTCTTTCATTTTGATCATTGAACTTCTAAAATTTTCAATACAATCGTTGAATTGTTTAGGGTTGATTACCGGAATTCTCACTTTTCTTTCATATTTATTCATTTTTACTCACCTAATTCAAAAACATTATATTTTAGTCTATTATTGATTTATTAATTTTTAATCCCTTACATTATCAATTGTTACATTTTAGTCATTGACTTGTTAACTTCGATTAGTTTGATTATATGTCATGTTAGTGAAAAGAGGTTAATTTTTAATTTAACCCTTAACCTTTAGATATGATATTATTTGGTTCTGAACTTTAGATGAAATATCATTGTAATCACTAAACTTAAGATAAAATATCAATTTAACTATTAAATTCGACCTAAGTCTTTCATCAACAGCTGTCTCGATGTCGATCATCGTCGATTATTGTTACTGTTGTCACCATTATTATTGTTTATTCATTATTTTATTTTTAATTTATTTCTTTTTTGTTCTATTCGAAAGCCTTTCCCCTCCCGTGAGATTGGATTCCACCGAAAGTCAGAGACATAAAGGGTCACTAGGCAATAGTGCACGATCACCACAACGTTTCATCGACGACCACCAACGTCAGAAGACTAATGGTCACAATGACACTCAACTTAAAACAATGAAATCTCCCTAGTTTTCGAACTGACTGCCTTGGATTACCAGTAGATAATGAATGGTTATCCATGAACGACAGTGACGGAGAAGAGTACAAAATAATATAGGTCGTAATCGAGTCACTAATGGAGCACTAACAGACACTAGTAAATTCAATCGGAGTGACAACAAACAGAGTTAGCACAAGGAAATCCCGTAGCCAACTCCAAGATTTCCATCAAGCAAAAGATTTTAGTTAATTATTTATTTTATTGATTATGTCCCCCTAAAATTTTATTTATGCATATCATATATGAAATTTTTATATCAATATATGTTAGTCCAACCTAAAAATATATTTCTGGATCCGAGCCAACAAAATGATTAATTCAATCATGACCAAATATAAGGGCCGAACGAACTTGGCAACTAGGGATGTTGTGGACAAGCTGCCTAAAGAATGGGGGAATCACGGCCACTTTAGAAGGCCAAACCGATGCCCATGGTTTCCGCGAGGCTTCTCTTTTTAATGGAGAATTTGAAGTGAAAATCAGTAGTTGATGCAGCAATTTCATGCACATGCGAATCTATTGAAGGTGATGAATATAAATCTTCTTCCTCATAATAAAATATTTAAATTGAAGTTACGGCTACATTTTTAATTGTGTTGTATCTATCACGATTGCGAATATTATAGGTGTCATGCGATCATTGCAAATATCGCAATTATACAATAATGATTTTAGACGGCATTGCTACCACTATATATAATCACTATTCTAATAACGGATTGCTTATTTAGATCCTTCTCAGAACTACTGTAACCGGATTCTTCCTCGTGCACTGCTGTTTAAGGTGTTAAAGGGTTAGAGCTTGAATTGCTTTCACGACCCTGTTCTTCAAGAAAATCAATGAAGGTCCCCATTTGGACACCATTCTATTCACCAAAGCTTTCATTTTCCTTTCCAAAGCTTTCGTTTTTCTCAGCCAAATTCCCCATTTCACCTTTCTTCAAAACTAAGTGAATCACAAACGACAGAGTTGTTAACGACCAAATGTGACATCTTTACAAATTACAATAACGATTTCTAATAATTTAATAATTTATTTGTTACGAAACGATAATATCAATTATTATTTCATTACTTCTAAAATATTAGTCTTGGAAAAGAAACTACTTATAATTTAATTACTATTTATGTACTTCACTCAAAACTACAAATATTTTAGAATACAAAATAATGAAATCAAAATTTCAGTTTTTTTTTCGACAGTCTGGAGCATATAATGAAAAACTTTTAGTTGATACATTTGTTTTTAAGTTGTAAGTTTAGGTAAAAATCTTTTAACTCTCCCTAATACAAATTGTTTAAAAAATTTCAATTTCCTTGAAACCACAAAGAAGATAGCAAGCAAACAAATCAAAAACACTTTCCCCTAACAAACATAAATCAGTAATCGGGTCTGAGCCTCTCAATTATGAACGATAGAAATGTTGCTGGGATTGTGGAGGCAGTTTCAAAATGATCCAATGGTGGTGCCATCAGATCGGAGGGGTTGTGTAATTCGGCTTAGTTTTGTTCGTATCGTTTTGAGTTCGTTTCCGGGGGGAAATAATTGAAGGAGAGATTCCCTTTAGGACGATAATCACTCGGAAGTGCTGGAGGAAGGAGAGCACGGCGAAAGGAGGGTTTCAAGAGTAAAGGGACTTTGGTGTAACTGTTACTCGGTTTAACCGGTTTCCTCTTTTTTTTTCTTCTTTCTAATAACCAACGGTTTTGGTTTTAGTTCTTCTGTTTTTTACATAGCTGTAACTTAGGGTTTTCATTTTAGAATGATTCTATAAGGACTGCCGGAGTAGTATCTTCACCTCCTCCGCCGCGGCGTTCACTCACCACCATCGGATAATAACAAAGCTTATATCGAAGCAAATGAACGGTAGAGATTCAAAGGAGGACAAGGAGGAACATGAACAAGTTATGAGCGAGGTTCATCTCGGATGTCCACCTGGCATCTTCGGTCCTCACATTTCCCGCTTCACCATTTGCCTGCCTTCTGGTACGTCAATTTCTTCCAAATTATCATTTTTTTTTCTTAAATCAGAGCTTTCTAATTTTGTTTTCTTTTTATTTTTAAATTTATTCAGGAGTTGAATCCAGCAGATTCAATGGACTCTTCAAAGACCAAGAACCTTGTACGGACCAAAACATTAGCTTCGATGAAGATGGCGACTTAGTTTTACCAAGAAGACGCCGTTAGTAGCCAATTAACTTCAATTACCTCGAAGATGCTTTTATTTTCATTATTTTTTTAATTGTTTCTGTTTAACTGACAGAGATTTCTCGGCGTTGTTTTACTATGAAAATCCAGCATAATATCACTTCATCCATTCCTAGTGTTGGTTTGCAGGTGACCCTTCGATTCTTTTGTTGTTTATCATTCCATTTTTATAAGCCATTAAAATAGGTATTATAAGCTAATGCTTTATTTTTTGTAATTTTTTAATCCGTTTCTGTTTCTCAGGTATGGAAAGCTGAACTAGTTTTGTCGGATTTTGTGTTACATAAGATCTGCACTTCAATGGAGTTCCATGGCATTGTCTCGTTAGAGCTTGGTGCTGGAACAGGTATATCGTGTGCTTAGTGCTTAAAAAGACACATATATCAGTGTTATCTGTTAAGCATGCGTTTATGTTGAATCCAGAAGTTACCATGCTTGTTATCAAGATCAAGGTCATGCATTCCCCAAATGGCCTGAACCTTTCAAAGTTTCTGAACCTGCTTGTGGGGAGTCATTGCATATGTTGTAATTGAAGTTGCTGACTTTTAGGCTTTTGGAGAAGTTGGACCTATATTTCTCGATTTATGGATATGTCCAGCTGAGGAATTCTCGACTGGAATGTGCTTGCTAGTTCTGTTAACTCTCTCATCATTGCATTAGTGTACAAGTCAGTTGCTTCTGGGGAGTCATAACATGCATATGTAGTCGTTGAAATTGCCAACTACTAGGCTTTTGAATAAGATTGACTTATGTTTCTCGCTTTACGAGTGTGTCCGGTTGAGGATTTCTCAACTGGAATGTGCTTGCTAATTATGTTAAACTCTCTCATTATTGCATTAGTGTACAAGTCAGTTTCTTATGTTTGATAATAAATTCGATTTTATGAATAATAAAATTGGGAAAACTTGTTCAATGTGTTTTGGGGCATGTCCATTATATAGCTTGGACAATCTAACAAGGCCAAATCTGAAACATTAGTACATCTAGTATGACAGGAAATCTTTGCACTGTCTTTACCAGGGCTTGCAGGCATGCTGCTTGCACTTGCTGCTAGGACCGTGTTCTTAACAGGTGAGACTTGCTATTATTTATCTGCTGGGTTGCTTTGCCGCGTTGGCTTATTTAATTACCTGTTACTCCAGTAGTCCAGTTTGCTTCAACTGCTTTGGTTCTGCGTTTCTACTGACAGACCACGGTGATAAAATCCTCGAGAACTGTCTTAAGAACGTTCAACTTAATTATGGAGTCCTTAAACATCGAAATGTAATTTATGTGCGCGAACTTGATTGGACTCATCCTTGGCCTCCTAAAGATAGTTCAGACCATGCATCTCAAGAAAGGTGATTCATATGGTTTCAGTGCTGGACTTGTTTTAAAATCTAGAAGTATTTATATTGTTTCCAATTAGGATTGCAATGTATTTATTTAATAGAGGAAATAAGAACTCAATCGTTCAAATTTTAAATGGTTAAATTCAGGTTTACATGGAGCTCATTTGAACTTGAAGAAGTCCAGAAAGCTTCTCTGCTTTTAGCTGCTGATGTTATTTACAGTGATTATCTTACAGATGCGCTGTTTGGTATCCTTGAAAGAATAATGTCACAAGGGTCTGAAAAGGTTGGTTAACATTGGTAGAATAGTGTATAGTGTAGGTAATAATACACAAACGGATTTTACTAATGAGTGTCATTGTTAAAAATCTCCTGTTGCTTTTGTATGTTGCATGATTTAGGGTTTTTGGATCCGCCCCATAGTTTACTTTTTTGGAGCTGGTATTGAACATGTTATCATAGGCAGAAAATTCAAAAGAATATCGCAAACTCTGTGACTTATCCACTTCTGATGTTTTATCTGGGTGAATTTCAATTGCCTGTGCGTTTTGAGGCAATGAACTGTGTTCTATTACCTGTACACGTTAATATATATGTTAAAATTTTCTAGCAATTAGTGATTGCAGCACCCATTGTATGCATATCTCATTTCTTAAATGTCAGTCCTCATTCTTATCTTCCTAGATTGTGTTCTTTGAAGTCCCTTGTATACCAATGGGACAATCAACTGCATTCCTCTGGTTTTCAGGTGTTATATTTGGCACTGGAAAAGCGCTACAACTTCAGTCTTGATGATCTTGATATTGTAGCAAATGGTTATTCAAAGTTCAGAAGTTACACAAAGGAAGACAGCGGTAGGTATCTTACAATGCAAAAATATATATTGCACGATAAGTTTCTTGTCTTTTGGGTTTTTTCTCTCCTGACGTGCCATTATATTTGATGATGCAGAATGTGAAGGTCTTGAGCCTGGTTCCTTGCCTTGTTTTATGGGTAGGTGTATCGATATTGCAGAAATTCCTCAATATGTGGGGGGATATGACCGTGGAAAGGATGTTGAGCTTTGGGAGATTAGATACAACAAAGACACTGCTTTAATGCCTTGTTAAAGTGAGTGACCAATTATCCCAAAAGCTCAATCCGGTAAGAAAAGGACTAACTATTGTATATAAGTTTCACAAAGCTCCCCACAACTGTTTGCAATTACAGGCCAATAGTTAGGTAGATAGTTGATTCATCCCTTGTTTAGGATGATCAAAAGCAGTTTGTTGTTTCTGGAAACATTACTATCTTTGCTAACTTATATTCATATATTCAGCAATGAACTCGGTAGTTCCGGATATCAGAAATGAACATAATGCATCGCATGAGTTGCAGTTAAAGCTGGAAGATACTTATCTGTGTTTAACACTTACGTCTAAGTAACATCGCTGAGGCTGCTGAGTTGAAATAGGACAAAGTGTATATGCAGAAAAAAGGATGATATACAATGCATTAAAGATGTTAAAATCAAAACCGGAAATCATATACAAAAAAACTTATACTTAATTTTTTGCCACTTTCGAACAATGTGACATTGTTCTTGAGGTTGTATCATTGTGTGATGTCGCGACGTCGTTTTAGACAATGTTGTGTTATTACTTTTTAAAAAATTGAAACAATGTTGCGACCTATTAAAAACAACGTCTCGTTTGAATCGCAACATTTTTCCATATAGATGACTCTTAGCGTCTCTATTCCCACTTTGATCCTTTGTTTTTCTTGCATTTGCTTGCTTAGCTGATAAATCATTAAATTGAAAAGTAGTGCTCTATTTCAGAAATATAGAAAAGTTTAATGAAAAAAGAGAAATATAGAAAAGTTCAGGGGGCTTAGCTCCTGCTATTTTCCATTTTGAAGTGGAGCTAAGGATTTCGTGGCTCTGCCAATGGGTATATTAGCTTCTAAGATAACTCCACACGCTGTTTTCAACGCGACTCACGCTCCTAATTTTCAACATTTTTTAAAATCCTGTTTTATATATAAATTTGTATATCTTGGCGAATGAATTTTTTATGCTAATAGAAGTTGTTAGTTTTATTAAAAGACAAGAAATATTTAAAATTTTAAAAAATTTACAATTATAAATGTAAATTAAATATATAATAAATACATAACTATATAATCATTAACATAATACATTACTCACTTAAAATCATACAAGGACCATAAAAGAAAAATATTTAAAATTCGTCCAAAAAACTTGAATAAAAGATAGATACAAACAAATATTGCAAATCAGAGTCAAGCGCGATGAGAAAACTATCTCTGAACGCAAATCACATATTCATATCTAATATGATGGTTCAAAATATGAAAAAATATGTTTATTTGTTATCTTGTTGATATTTTTTGCTTTTGATCTTTGGATTTGATTTTGATACGTGGCTTGTGTTCGTAGATAGTTTTCTGACGATAATTTATTCTAATTTGTGGTTGTTAATGATTTTTCAATAGTTTAAATTTTTGTTATGGTTTTTTTGTCAATGCAGACAGATTTACTTGTATCTATTTTTTGTTCAAGCTTTTTAGATTAGTTCTAACGGTTTTATTTGCATAAAAAATAAGTAGTGATTTGACTATAATAGAGGTTAATTAACTTAAGGAAAAGATAATAATTAAATTAATAAAAATATAAACATTGAGGACTAATTTGTGATTATACCGGAAATAAAAAGAAGAAAAATAGCGCGTGGGAGTTTGTGAAACTGGTAATATCGCGCTACTTGTATTTTCTTTGTTTCTTAAAATATTAAAGAAATAGCCAGAAAAAAGGGTGGAGGGTATTTATTTCGATAAAAGCAGTGGCTGCGAAGCAAGAGAAAATAGCAAAAACAAAATGGCGACCAGTCTTCTGCTCTCCCCTCAGCCGCTGGCCTTTTCAAAATTCTCTGTTCCAACCAAAAACGTAGCGGTTAGCAGCCAAAGAGCAACGAGATTCGTAGCCAAAGCAAAAAACAACGACGAAAACAAAGACGACAAAGGCTTCACTCCGTTTAGTTTCGTCACCGATAATCCTTCCAGTCGCAGCGCCATTCAACTCCCCGAATCTCCCGCCGAAGATGGCAATGTTGGCCAAATGCTTTATGTGAGTTAATTTTAATATAGCGGACCTTTTACTTCTTCCATGCTAATTACATCTTTTTTTCGTCGCCTATACACTTATATTGTGTATTTAAAAGTCTGTATTATGTTAGTTTTGTTATGAAAATTTATGGGTATTTTTGGGTCAATTGCAGAGGATAGAAGACAAGGGAAAGGACTATGGCTCATACGTTAAGTCTGGAAAGCTTAGATGGTTTGTTAGAGAAACTGGTAAAGTTTTACATTTTCATGCTTCATTAGGCAATATACTTTAACTTCTCCAATTATTAAAGTTGCAGTGATTATTTTGTAACAGTTCGATAAATTTGTGACTATTTTGTAACTTTTAAAAGTTCAGTGACCAAAATGATCATCTGAGGATAGTTAAGTAACCCCTGGTGTACTTTACCCTATATTGTATAGTACGTAAGTTGGCTTTAGAAAGCTTTTGTTACCATTTGAAGTGACGATGGTTATTGATTTTGGTCATTGTAGGGTCACCTGAAAGCCGACGTGGGACGGTTGTGTTCCTACATGGGGCTCCAACACAGTCTTACAGCTATCGAGTTGTAATGTCTCAGGTTGTGTAGCTCACTCTTTTGTCTATACTTATTCCATTTTCTCTAAAATATTGCAGTTGCCTAGAATGAGCTTGCCCTAATTGAGGATTCCTTTTTTTTTTTGTTGCATAGATGTCAGATGCTGGTTTCCATTGCTTTGCACCTGATTGGATAGGATTTGGTTTCAGTGACAAACCACAGCCTGGATATGGCTTTGATTACACAGGTTTTTTTCAGTTATATGATAACCTGCTTTATATTATGGGATTGAATTTAGATGATATCATTTCGGCAAAAGTTTTAGAAGTAAATGCAATTTTTCTCTTTACGACTACTGTGTAAGGATACCTTTTTCTTGATCTGAGATGATTCTTTGAAATGCTAAATATTAATCTTTACAGAGGAGGAGTTTCATGAGGAACTTGACAAATTATTGGATGTCTTGGAGGTCAAGTCTCCTTTCTTTCTGGTGGTTCAGGTTTGACAATCTTTAGAGGGTCGTATCTTCACATCCATGTTAAACATGAGTGTCGAATGCCAGAAATCTATTTTAGCAAACTATGAAACTAGTGTCAACATTCTTGCATTCTCCTATGAACATTCTATAATTCTAGTAGTACATGTTAATTGTGCTATATATGTTCTATTATTTTCAAGATTTTTCCATGTATGGATGTTCTTTGAAAAATCATATCCATATACTCGTGTCTGGTGCTAACATCAAACATGATCACTTCAAGAAAAATTAAATATTAAAGCAATATATCATGTTGATCATAAAAATCTTTCATTGTTTATAAAAATGATGCCATAATCTAAGTTTTTGGTAGTTTACGATATATCTACATGCCTAATTTAGTTTCTGTATTTCCTTGAAGGGGTTTCTTGTAGGTTCATATGGATTGACATGGGCATTGAAAAATCCCGACAAGATATCGAAATTATCAATTCTGAATACTCCATTAACAGTTTCATCTCCCATTCCCGGATTATTCCAAAAGCTAAGGTTTGGATTTCATTCTATGAAAATGACTGCTTATCCTTCATTGTATTGTTCACATTTTATTGTTTTGATTCTTGGGCATGGGTTTTGAGATATGGCATTCTAAGGATCCTACGAATACTTGATTACTAATTTAAAATTCTTGACCTAGTTGATGTTATGAGTTGACCAGATACCAACTAAGTTGAAAATTAGAGAAAAAAATATTTTTTTACAAATTATTCTATTATATTTTAAGATTAGTTTTGTTGTTTAATTTTATTATAGGATACCTTTTAAAAAGCACTTTATTAAATAAAAGTTGATAAAACTTTAGCTCAAATGGCAAGGTTACTTATTAAATAAATTAAAGTACCAAATAATTTCGTGTTTCGTTTGTTTCTGACAGAATACCACTTTTTGGAGAATTTACCTCTCAAAATGCTGTGATGGCGGAACGCTTTATTGAAGCAGGTAGCGCGTATGTATCCAATATATCGCTGCTATTTTTGCAATTTTTCTACTGATATGTTTTAGCAGAATATTCGGTTCAATATGTTTTATACAAAAGCAATCTATTGAACCGGAAAAACCGGTTTAATCAGTAAAAAAATTGGTTTTTATATATTTTTAATCGATAAGACCATATAATCCAAATGTGCATTGATGTTAATTATTTATTATACTCAATACTTGTTTATCTTTTAGGGTAAAGTACACAAAGGTCCTCTGACTATAGAATATTGTTCTGTTGAGTTCCTTGACTATTAAAAATTACAAAATGTTTAATGGAAAAAGACGAGTTTGAAACATAATGAATAGTCAGGTGACCATTTTGTAACTTTTACTAGTTGAGGAACTCAACAAAGTAACTCCCTATAGTCGGGAAACCATTTTGTAACTTTTAATAGTCGGAGAACTCAACAAAATAGTATCTTATAGTCAGGGAATCATTTGTGTACTTTACCCTATCTTTTATTAGTAGTTTATTCTTTTTGAAGTTTCTGTATATGATCTCACTCTTACTCGTATTAGGATATAAGGTTAGAGATATAATTCTCTAAGAGCTCTTAAAATGTATGAAAACTATCAGAAAATTGAAAAATACCTATGCCGGACTCGTATTTATATCCGATACTAACATTTATGTCCTAGTAACGTACTCGACTTATGCATTCATTTCAAAATGATTTAACTGAGGGTTCATTTCGAATATCTTCTCCCACTTTATTCTATGGCTGGTTACAAGATTCATATTGAATATCTTGCAGCAGAAATTGTTATTTTTTTTTCCTTTTAATTTCTAAAGATGGAATAACAAATGTGTTTGACAGTTATGTGCTGAAGCTGGAGAAGGCTGATGTCTATCGGTTACCATATCTGGCTAGTAGTGGCCCTGGTTTTGGTTCGCATTTCCTCCTTACATTTACAATTTTTTTGGTCAATCAGTATCCGGTTAAATGCTTAACTTGGCATCGTAGTTCATATTTTGTTTTAAATCCGAGACTTGGTCCAATCAACCTTTAAGAGGTGACATTTAGCATGTCTAGAATTTTTTTTTAATAATATGAGGTGATTACAAGGTTGTATCTTTTCAGTTTTTTCTTGGCCTATTAACAACGCGCACACACCCTACAGACCAGTTGCTCCAATTCGGGTCCTCTAAAGAGAATAACATTTTCTTTTACCATTGAGGCCCCTCAATGGGTTCAGCAAGTCTGGATTTCAAATTCTAGCATTTACAACCCCTTATCCAGCCTAATCCGGGGTTATTCGAAAGACAATCCAATAATGCAAATAGTTTGAGATATGCATAGGATTAGAGTTTAGCCTTCTTAAGTTTAAAAGTTTAAATACCTATTATGGTGTTTCAGCATTACTTGAAGCAGCAAGAAAAATTAATTTCAGAGACATTTCCAGTCAAATAGCTGATGGATTTTCAAGTGGAAGGTACATTTTCTTCTTGATTCATATGATGCAGAAAAAAAAATCATCATTGTAAGCATATCTGCGTCCAGCACACTCGTGTCCGAGTATATTCTGCTTACAGTTCATTCAATTGTCCAGTTCGTAGCATATTATTTTATTATCTTTCAAGGCTTACAAATTGATGATTCTTCGACTTCAGATGGGATAAACCAGTTCTGATCGCTTGGGGTATGGCGGACAAGTATCTGCCTCAGTCGATCGCCGAAGAATTTCGAAAACAAAATCCAAACTCAGTGGAGCTCAAGCTGATTGAAGGTGCCGGCCATATGCCTCAGGAGGACTGGTAAACTAGCTTCATTTGCGTTATCAGTTTTCATTTCTGCACAATTTGTCTTCCCCTCAATAAATATTTTTGCAAATTAACAGGCCCGAGAAGGTTGTTGATGCTTTGAGAATGTTCTTCTAATTCCCGAGTCAATTGATCATCGAGTTTATTAGCACGTTTCTTTCCTATTCCTCCAAGGTAAGTAACATACAACGCTTGCTGTGTTTATATGGAAATATAATCTTTTAAGGATCTTCAAATATGTTAATTTTTTTATAAAATAAATATATTTATATTAAACACATATTTATATCTAACGCTCGTATTCGATTATTAGTAACCTTTTTTTTTATCATGTCGAAGCCTATTTTTTCTTGCAAATCTTTTGAATCTAAAACTAATTTTGTGTTTCCTGCAGGTATTTTACAGAATATATAGCAGTGTAATTTTCAGATAAAACTCCCAAGCCAAATGGTGTGTGTGTGTATATTATTGTATAAATATATAGAATAATTTATAAATTAATTCCTCGGTTGTTGAATATTACGATTTAGTCCCTAAATTTATGAAACATTACACATTAATCCTTAATTATTGCTTAGGGTTATTAATGGATTAATAAAATTAGTTATGTATACAATAATGTGATGTTATATATTTTAATTATAATTTTAAGTAATAGGTTTCGATTTTAAGTTAATTTACGATTAAGTCCATATTAAATCTATAGATAAGTTTGGGCGGGTAAATCATATGTTTTAAGCTCCCCTTGGACTAATTATTAATAGGGTAAAGTATAGTAATGGTCACTGAACATTTTTGAAGTTTGCATTTAGGTCCCCTAACTTTTAAAACTTGCAATACAGTCCCCTAACATTTATTCCGTTTGCAATATGGTCCCCCAACTTAAACCACCGTTAGAAATTAGGGTAAATTATATAAAAGGTTATTTAACTTTTCAGACACTTGAATTTAGGTCCTCCAACTTTTAAAACTTGCAAAACAGTCCTCAATTTCATTCTAAACCCCAATTTCCAAAGTAATTCAATTTCATTCTAAACCCTAAATTCCAAAATAATTCAATTAAATTCAATTATGTCAGATTTATTATTATTTAATTTCATCTTATTTCATGTGATACATATTTTTTATATAAATATAATAGTATAATTCTTATCTGTTGAAGAAATTTTTTAATTAAAAAAAGTAGTTAGGATATAGAAGAGGTTGAAAATAATTCGAATTTTAAATTTATAAAATGTTATTTTGAAGTATAAACAAAAGTGTAAACTACTAGGTTGACAACTTAACTATCTAGCCCTTTTTACTTTTGTCATCGATCTTTTAAATTTATCAATCATACAACATAATTATTTAACTGTTTCAACTAAGCCACTAGTCGTTACCAATTGATACAAATGATGAAGTGGCAGTTAAAAGGAATTGACATTATTATACATTCAGTCTTTATTATTTATATAATCAATTTGGTCCTAAATTAAATAGAATTTAATAAATTAATCATTTAATTAGGATCTAACATGTGTTAGCACATGATCATGACACGTGTCATTGGTGACACATGTCACCACCTAATTATTTATATGCTATCAATTTGGTCCTAAATTAAATAAAATTTAATAAATTAATCATTTAACCAGGATCTGACATGTGTTAACACATGATCATGATATATGTTATTGGTGACACATGTCACCACCTAATTAGAAGAAAATTAAGTTACAAAGAAGTAAAATTTGGGTCTTGGGCAAACTCAAACCTGAGTCACGCAAATGAAAGATACATGGTAGAGCCACTAAGCTAACACCATCGTTTGTGTTAAGAGATATGCAATAATACATATACTAATAGTATGACCGATGCTAGAAAAAAAGAATATAATGGAAAATGGAAATAATGAGATTTGAACTTCGGCAAAAAATTTGAAAGCAATAAATGATGGGAAAATATTATATTTTTTTACAATAAAAATATTATATTTGATAAATTGTTTGATAGATTTATATATTTTTTAAATATTAGTTGATACAATATTTTAAAAGAATAAATTTAAGATTTATATATTTTTAAACTAAATTTAATAATTATATTTTCATATTTATAATTCATGATTATATATAATCTTAAGTTGAGTATTTCTAATATAATTAATAATTTTAATTTATTATTAAAAATAAAATATTCAAAAAATATAAACGATTCATACATTAATATATGAATATATATTTTTTATTTATACATCTAAATATAAATATACATTTATATAAATATATTTTTATTCGTATATTGAAATATTTTGATTAAAATATAAACATATTTTAAATACTAATTTATACAAGAAAAATAAAATATATCAAAAATATAAATGATTCATACATTTAAATATAAATTGAATCATTTATATTTTCTATACATCTATATTTAATAAGAAACTAAAATTATTGGGGGACTGTTTTGCAAGTTTTAAAAGTTGGGGACCTAACTTCAAGTGCCTGAAAAGTTCAATGACCGTTTATATAATTTACCCTAATTTTCTAACAGTGATTTAAGTTGGGGGACCATATTGCAAACGGAATAAATGTTGGGGGACTGTATTGCAAGTTTTAAAAGTTGGAGGACCTAAATGCAAGCTTCAGAAATGTTCAGTGACCATTACTATACTTTACCCTTATTAATATTAGGAGATATTATATGTTCAATATAATAATTTTATTAATATGTGACTATTTACACTTAAGTCTATAAACTTTTAAAAAGCTTTAATTTAGTCCTCAAGTACGATAACACTTCTGAAATTATTAAGAATAGTGATAATCAACATGTCTAATATAAGGGATTTTATGTCTAATTTATGTTCAAGTAATTATCCTTAAAGTTTTAACATATGTGGTTAGATCATCAAACTTTTGATAAATTAGACATATAGTCCCTATGTGTGAATTCAACTAATAATTTGATAGTTTGATTATGTAATTTTGTTTAAAATTTGATAAATGTATGACTTGAAATTGTTTGATGTTAGTTTAAGTTTTGAGAACATCTCAGATCCACTTTCCATTCAGATTAAGGGTGTTACATATAGTGTAAGGAAAATTTCGATGGATTTTAAGCATGTTTGAAAGTTGATTTTGACCAATAGTTGCATTTGGTATCGATATTGAACATAAGGTATCGATATCAAATCAATAAGAGATATCAATACCATCATGAAGAGTATCAATATCTTTGGTCAAAATTAGAACTTGGTGTACCAATTTGGGATCGATGTGTGAATCAATATTGTATTAATGATATAAGTACCAAAGACTTAGTATCAGTATTCACTTAAGGGATCAAAATACTAGAAACTTGAATAAGCATCGATACATACCTATAAGTATTGATACTAAATCTTATAATATTGATACTAGTATGTGGTATTAGTGCCAGATTAAGGTTCGAAGTAGCTATTAAGTAAAAGTATCGGTACCATATAAAGAGTATCGATATCATTACGATGTTTGATGTTTAAAATATATTAAAGAGTATCAATAATAGAAATATCGATACCACATCGAGACTCAATGTTCCTTTTTAATTAAGAGTATTGATATCATATCTTCTAATATCGATATTGTATTAACACAATTTCGACACCTAAATAAGCATCGATACATACCTATAAGTATTGATACTAATTGATGCATGATCATTGATTGCCTACATGATCATACAAGTGCATTGGCCTACTTATTAGCTATGCAACTTAGATTGTTCATTATTTTCCTATAAGGTTGTTGGATCTTAACAATAATATGCCATTCCCAATGACTTAGCTCTCTGGCTAATAGTTGGATGTGATGATGCTTAGAGTCTCGTGAATTTTAAAATTTTCTATAAACCTATTAGTATTGGGTTATGTTCTAGTCTGTCAAATTATATAACAACGCATTTATTGACAAACAAGCAAAGCGTCATAACTTGTTGGAAAATGAAATTGGGGTAAAAGGATTTGTACAATGCATGTTTGTTTTCTCTAATATGTTACCCAAAGTAGGAACCTTCATTCATTCATATATCTGATGATCATTTAAATAGAAATTGTAATGATTCAAGAGCTTTCTTGATTAACTATTATTTGAAAATATTTTGAAATCCCAAGATACTTAGTCACTCAATTGATAATTTCCTTCTTTTTCCAAATCAACTTAATTATTATTTTTTATTTTTTAAGAAAAGATCAAAGAAATATATATATATATATAATGATCCACTGAACAAGAATAATTTACCATCTTTCTTTGCCTTTTCCTTCTCGAGAGTTTCCATTCTCTGTTTCATTACATTGTTTTCTTTTTCCAACATCATGCGCTGCTTTTCATAGAAAGAAACTGCTGGAGCTAGGACTGCCACTTTCTCCTAGAAATCCCACACCCAAATACACAAAATCCTTTATATTGAGATTAAATAAGGAGAAAATATAAATAATGAACATCCACCTCTTTCATAGCGATGTCTTTTTTGAGATTTTCAATGTATTCTGCCTTCTTCAACCTGGATTTCTGAGCTGAAACTCTATTTGCAAGTAGTCTAAAGAGAAAATAAAATGAAGTTAAAAAAAATCATTGCGCTATATAAAACATTAAATGCAGTATAACTATTGATAAATAAAAGGGAAGTGCACCGTTTAATCTTCTTAGGGTCCGTATCAGGGCCAAAGTTCTGACCCCATTTTCCATATTGAGTTGGATAGTGTGTCTCGGTTACGAGAGGTGAAGCTGATGATGAATCCCCTACTGTTCCTTTGTAGGAATCAATTCCCTTTCCATCAGCACCACTTCCATTGATTTCCAAGCACCCTTCTACAGTAATATTGGAGCTCGGCCCGACCCAATGAGACTTTTTCACAAAGGTCATGGAATCACTTGCTGATCTTTGGTGCAATAAGGCTCTAGGAGGTTGATTGGACAACAAGGACAATGTCGACTCCTCATTTTCAAGAGAAATTGAGCTTTTCTCAGTATCAGGGCTCAACATTTGGTCATTAGGAGTTGTAGATGTTTCATACTTTGAAAACATAGTTATATTACTTGAGCAATACACAACCTGCAAGGCAAAAAACTACAGTAAATATCTCTCATTTATCTCAATAACAAAGTCAAAAGCCACAAAATATGAAATTGATAATCAAGTTAAAAACCTTGAATTTTTTTAGATGACTTCTATTATCTTTATCCTATAGACATGGGTATTTATCGAGGTTAATTTCTCTATAACTAGTATGGTATTAATAAGAAAATATTTTTTAAGTTAACCATTCATATATGGTAATTCTGTATATATATATAAATATAAAAAGTTGGTATAAACTATATAGTTTGGTATATTGTTAGTATCTTTATGAAATAACCTTTTTTTGTAAGGATAATTTTTCTTACATTTTAAATTTGTATTACATGAAAACTTTCTATAAACGCGATATATAATTTTTACTATAAAACATAATTGACAAAGAAATTATTATTTACAGCACATGGTACATTGTAATGTTTTTATTCTTTTGAGAAAAATATGTGAAAAAAATAACTCAAAATAAATGCAAGTCAAGTATTGAAAGATATATGTATAAGTTTATTGTATTTTTCGTATCAAATGCAAAATTTGCATTTATTTTCTCCTTTAGTTTAACAATTTAATAGTATCTTGGACTAAGTCTTATTTTTATTGACAACTTCAAAAGATAATAAGTCCAAATGTGCTCAATATAAATTGCCTCCAATTTAAGAGTATGTAAAAGTATGTAAGGACTATGAATAGTTTAGGTATTGCATAAAAAATAGTTTAACAATATTTACATACGCCAACAAATTATTGGTCTAATGACAATGATTTATGCAGGTCTTTTAACACCATTTTTAGGGTCCAAATTGTAAAGTTTAGTCCAATTCATCCTAAATCTGGAGGATTTGAGTGTCACACGGAACCATCTAAGTGACTAATCATTTTTTTATAAATATTTTGCTTAAAAATCCACTTAGTATATTGACATAATCATAATCCAAAATAAATAACATAGTTTAAGTTTATAAAATATGGGGCTCCAAATAGTACATATTATATACTCAAAATAAGGTCTATGATGTACATGCCCACTAAAATAATTCGACACATACTCTGATCAACGACGTTTAGAACTCTAATTTAGCGATGGTGCTCATCGATCCTCACCTAAGTACCTGAGAATGGAAACATATATCAACGCTAAGCCACAAACTCAGTGCCACACAAATAACACTACTATACTACATGCATTCATAACATATACATGCTTACAAGTATAGTCAGAGAAGCAATACAATAAATGTCATGCATGCCCATGACCACAACATATATCAAAGATGAGGTTCAGGTTATGGAGCTCAAACACTCATCTAAAGGAAACAATAATATGATTCGAGATTAGGATCAGGTCACGGAGCTCGAACGCTTATTTACAACACACAAGTAGACATCATGGTACAATCTAAGGTCACACGCGCATCATAAGATTCACACCCCTATAGCCTACAGCATAGGTATAAATGAGACATAGGTCACACTTGCATCATGAACGTACATCCAATATCTCCACATGACCAGTACCTCATGTGAGATATAGGTCACCTCTACATCTGGAGCGTCTGCATGGCTAGCCTACTCCTCTAGAGTAATAAATGAGTCTAGGTCACAAGAGCATTATAGTTGCATTCGATTAACATACTTTCAATGTCTTGGCACGACTCTTAGGATATCCAGATAATCCATCAAACATAATTGATGATCTTCATACACAAGTAACTTGGGTGTCCTCATCGTTTCTTGAGTGTCAAACAAAGACACTAGTCTTATGGAATCTTACCTCATAAGATTCTTATGATTATGACACATATCACATTATTATTGAATCTTCACTATCAAACTCTCATTATAGATTTAAATGTCGTATCATACGTCATTAACCATCGTATTTTTAGTAATTCTCATTATTATTTGAGTATCATTAATCTTCACGTTGTTAGTCAATTACAATATCTCTATAGTCCTCCCTCGAGTCTCACATCATTATTCAATCATTTCACAACTCAAACTCTTACTAGCATAGATTATTTCATTTACTTTAGCCTATAAAGGCATCAATAATTTCATCCCTCTAAAGACATTTTAGTAATTTATGACATTAAGTCATTTAACATTATCACTATCCACGTGATAAGTCTTTAATAGCCCGATACACGACTCAAGGTTGATTATTTGTTAGCAACTCTGTAGTTGCTCTCATCATATTTTCCCTCAACTCACCCTTGAACTGAAGAGACGACTGGTAGGTCACTGAATTATCAATATTCACATGATATGCAGTTTCTTTAGCAAACACTTATTGATATTACATGAACAATATCAATATTACATGAATAGTATTAATACTACATGATCAATATCAATAGTACAACCTAGAAATACAATGTTTTACTAGAGAAACACCCCAAACACACCCCAAAAGTTATTTCAAATTCATACTCATGACCCATACATAAACAAGGTCTATATGGATAGACATGCTCTCTACAAGAATATTGCACTTTGAATTGATGGTGCTGATTTTTTTTTTGAGGGTGTTATTCCCTTGGATCAAACAACCTCCAGACCTCAAAAAAGATAAATAATCAAATACTAAGCTTTACGAGCCCATCAATCCACAACTATTTTATAACGATTCATACAACAAATAAACATAGACAAGTTATATATATATATATATACACACATAACTAACCATGTGAGGTGGAATGATAATTTTTTTTATCGATCCATGTTAAAGTTTTCATTTTGCATATTTGTAACTCGATATCATTATTTCATGCGTTATGTTATGTTGTTGATCAATCAATATTTTTGTGTCATGTACACTAAATCATCATCCATGATCACTGGACAAATAAATTCCGAATGTTTGAAATTTTTTCTCGAGCGCTACTTATGACTACTAGGTAAGTAATTTTGGGTGACTGCTTTGTTTTCTTAAGTGTCACTCGTGACCGTTAGATAAATAATTTTGGATGTTTGATTTATTTTCATGAGTGTCACGCATGACCACTTAATCAAATTATCAAATTTATAAATTCATTGACACTCTCGTACGAGTCATTCATCAATGATTAATTCTTAATTCAATTCTCATTCAAATATGTTATAGAAGTATGTGTTAATCATTTAGGTCTTAATTAATCTTCATTAAGCCTTGGAAACAATTCTGAGTCATTCAAAGTTTCAAATTTCTAAATAGTCATTTAATCCAGTGGGTATCGATACTTTTTTAGAAGTATCAATGCTCACTTATATGGTATTGATACTCTATATGAGTACCGATACATAAAATTAGTTCAAAGTATACCCTATCATAAATATCCATACACAATTCTATGATATTGATACCTTACAGAGGTATCAATATTAAAAATTACTTCAAAGTTGCTTAATATTGATACCCTTATGCCTAAATTCCTTATATTTTTTTAAGATTTAAAATGTATCAATACTGTAAGAATAATACCTAAATCAAATAACAAAAATAATCTATTAAAATTTCAGAATTCACCCTACCATGATTCTAATCATTCTCTATCGCCCCTAGATCATTTCCTAAAACCACTAGTACTAACTACTTATCCATTGGCATAAGTTCTAACCATTTTTAACTCCAAATTCGTCTAAACAGCTTCAGATTATACATATAGATATAACACGCATCAAACATACATATGAACTCAGAAGACATTACATTTTTTGATTATATGTATTCTACCAAGAGTAGAAATGTATTATTATTTGCGAGAGATGCGGAGCTTGGAAATAATCGATGGAGGAGCAAATAAAAAATAGGAATATAAAAAATAATGATTAATGAAAGTAGGATTAGAATTTGAAGGCCAAAGGAGATGATGGAATTTAGAAAGATGGCGTGAAAGACAGGTAGGGCGCAACTTTAGCTGTTCTCCTCTTCAGATTCGGACAGCACACACACAATTAGTAACAATACATTAATCCCTGTTTCGGACATGGTTTTAGCTTTGGACAAACACTGAACAAACAACTCAGCTCCCATCGAATTTGGAGAAACAGAGAAAATCACAAAAAAGGAGAGAAATGAATGATCAAATATAGGCGATTGAAAGGCAGAAAAAGGAAAACAGGTAGAGAGAGAGCGTGGCCGTTTCAACAGCCACCTCTGTTTCTCAAACAACTTCCGGTTGGCCGCTTTCTGATTGTTTCTCGAGAAAAGTAAAAGGAACAGAGGAGAAATCCCAGAACCCCCCCCCCAATTTCTTTGTTAATACCCAATTGAGCCTGCTTTACCATTGTGTTGTCAGTTTCTGTGGTGTTCTGCAGGTAAATTTGTTTCATCGGTCTTTTTTTTTAAACACCCATTTCTAGATCCTCAGTTTTTGTTTTTGGGTGGTCTGAAAACTTTTTTTTTGTGTTGGAGATATTCTTCCCTTTGATCTTGACAAAGATGCATCGTAAAAAATTTTCCACAATGCGTAGTTTAAAGGTTTTAGATATATGTAAAGTCACGCAAGTTTATGCTCTTAACAACACCGGTGGTGGTGGAGGTGCCGGTGAAAAACTCTTCCAACAGAATCAGGACCATCTTAGTGTTAATACGGTTCGGCCTAAATCTATTCACAATGGCCAAGCTTCTAACGTGTCCCTTGGTTTTGCAAATGAGACCCTGCTTCCTTATGGCCTCCCTGTCTCCGATCTCCTTGAGCCCCCGATTGAACCATGCCTAAAGTTCGTTGATTTTATAGAAACTCTAGCTGATGTGTACCGTAGGATTGAGAGGTGTTCTCAGTATGAGAAATCTGGAATGTATCTCGAGCAATGTGCAATTTTTAAGGGCTTATCCGATCCAAAGCTGTTACGGATGACTCTTCGAGCTGCCAGGCAGCATAGCGTTGATGTGCATTCAAAGATTGTGTTAGCAGCGTGGTTGAGGTATGAGAGGAGGGAGGATGAGCTTGTTGGTACAAATTCAATGA